TCCTTCCGGATCATCGAGTTGCCCGATTACTCATCGATCGGGCGCACAAAGCCACACTCCACGGTGGCATCCAGCTTACGTTGCGCCTTCTGCGCCAGCGTTTCTGGATCTTATCTGCGCGCTCCCTTGTAAAAGGGCATATTCATCAATGTATCACGTGCACCCGTCATCGGGCGCAAATCAGCGAGCAACAAATGGGTAACCTTCCTGCCTCGCGTGTCACTCCCTCGGCCCCGTTCACGTCAACCGGGGTCGATTACGCCGGCCCGTTTAACCTCCTCGCGTCCGTTGCTCGAGGTCAACGGATCACCAAGCACTATGTGGCCGTCTTCATTTGTCTAGCCACCAAGGCTATCAACCTGGAATGTGTCGATGACTACTCGACAGCCGGTTTCCTAGCTGCGTTCCGCTGTTTTGTAAGCCGGCGTGGGCTCCCGACTCACGTGTACAGTGATAATGGTACTAATTTTCAGGGTGCCGACCGCGAGCTGTCGGCCGCCCTGCGCGCGCTCATGCGAGATGCCTCCGTGCAAGAATCACTGGCTAACGATGGCATAATTTGGCACTTCATACCCCCCGCTGCTCCTCATTTCGGCGGGCTGTGGGAGGCTGGGGTGAAGAGTCTCAAATATCACTTGAAGCGGGCCGTCGGGACCCACTCGCTTTCTCGCGCAGAATTCGCAACGTTACTTTGCCAAGTTGAGGCTTGCCTGAACTCACGCCCCATCTCCGCGTTGTCAGCCGACCCAACCGACTTGGCTGCGCTGACGCCTGGTCACTTTTTGATAGGTCGTCTCCTCGTGTGCGCGCCGGAACCATCCGTCACCGACGAGAAAGTCAATCGGTTGTCGCGATGGCAACTTGTATCCCGAATGCAGGAGCAGATTTGGCGTCGCTGGTCTCACGACTACCTACACTCGCTTCAACAGCGACACAAATGGCCGGAAGCCAAAATTAATCTCCAGGAAAACGATCTGGTTCTGTTAAAAAATAATTTGCTTCCTCCCACGAAGTGGGATTTAGCGCGGGTCACGGAGGTGCACCCGGGCCGTGATGGCCTGACTCGGGTCG